GCGGTGGAAACCATGAGGCTTGGCATAAGGGGTGCAATGTGTTCAAAGCTAGAACGCAAGAAAGAAGACCAAAAGTAAGTCTAGGACTTAAAAGTAATGTCAGTGGCAAAAAAGACCGTCAGCAACACATTCCAGCAACCTTAGTGCGAGGAAATATTTCGTACGCCGATACTCTGCGTACTGGGCTGGAAAAGTTCAATAAAGAGACGTCAATTAGGAACCCTACCCCCAAGCACCAAGATACCCCACCCCACAATAGTTCAAGGCTGGAGGCTGCAATAGAAGCACTCACTGTGAAAGTCGACACTCTACAAGCTATGTTTAAGGAACTTCAGGAGACGAATCAGTTCCTAAAACAAATGTGTCTGAGTCTATTGAACGCCAAAAAATGATGCACAATTCACTAAGCCTCGGATTGTGGAATGCCCGTGGTATCTCTGGGCATGTGGAGGAGCTTAAGCACTTCCTAACTGAACATAATATTGACGTGATGCTAATTACAGAGACCTGGCTTCAGACCGGTGTATCCATCTTTATTCCAGGCTACAAAATTCACAAAGCGGATCATCCTAGCGATAGAGCAAGAGGAGGAGCGGCGGTGCTTATTAAGCAGGAGATCGAATATTTCCAAAACGAACCGGTAAGGATGGAGAAATTGCAAATGGCCAGCATCCAGATTGCAACTAGCAGGGGTGAATTAACCATTGCTTCGGCATATCTCCCGCCGCAACTGTCGTGGTCAGCAATGGAATTCCAGCAACTTTTTAGCGGACTAGGAAGAATGTTCCTTATAGGAGGCGATTTTAACGCAAAAAACAGATGCTGGGGTTGCTTTAGAGCTAACGCAAGAGGCACCTGCTTACTGGACGCGGTGCAAAACTCATCATCTGAAATACTAGCGACTGGGCAAGCCACTCATTTCCCGTTTGCCCAAAGTTACACGCCGAGTGCCATTGACTTCTTTATTTATAACGGACTTCACCCAGATGGCTTAAGTATAAGGCCTGAGTTTCAGCTATCCTCTGATCATATCCCACTAGTAGTTGGTTACGACTGTATTCCAAAGGGCAAAACAATTAAAGGTCGTCTGCTGCCTCCTGGAGCCAACATTGCTGCTTTTCGACGAGATCTAGAGGAAACTCTAGACCTAAACTTGGAAATACTTGCACCAGAAGACATCGAAGATGTATATGCGCTATTCCTGAACAAGGTTCACTCGGCAGCCCTCATTTCTGCGCCAGTAAGCCGATCAGAAAGCTCACGACCACAAGTGAGACTTCCGCCAGCAATCCATACACTACTGCTGATTAAGAGAAGGATTAGAAGGCAGTACTGTCGAACCGGAGATCCAATTGTGGACAGGATCTACCGTAGAGTGTCGAACCGTGTCAAAAAGCTGCTGCAGCTGAATAGACAAAGGGAAACCGACCGTTTTTTGGAAAATGTTTCTCCAGATGAATCCTCAAGTCACTCCCTATGGAGACTGACGAGAAGGCACAAACAGCAAGTGTCCCCCAAATTTCCGATCAGAAAGCCTGATGGATCTTGGGCCAGATCCCCAAAGGAACGGGCTGATGCATTTGCCGAAGACTTGGAGGATCGCTTCAAGCCTTTTAATACAAGTTCGGCAAGCATGAACAGAAGGGTTCAACTCACACTGGAGAGCCCAGGCCAGCTAAGCCTCCCAGTTGCTCCAATCACTGTCAACGAAGTATCAGACCACATAGCAGCACTTAAGACAAGAAAAGCTCCTGGCGATGATGGCATCGACAACATAACACTAAAGGCATTGCCGGTCAGAGCAGTCCTATTTTTAGTGTTAATCTTTAATGCGGTATTGAGATTGGGGCATGTTCCAAGCCAATGGAAAAAGGCGAGAATATGCATGATCTATAAGGCTGGAATGAGCCCCTCGTCCCTAGACTCATACAGGCCTATTAGTTTGTTGCCCACGATCGGAAAACTATTCGAACGTTGTCTGCTTACGAGACTGCTGTCTTTGGACAGAATTAAAGAAAAAATTCCCCCCTTTCAGTTTGGGTTCCGAAAATCTCATGGCACACCGGAACAGCTAAATAGGGTGGTGAATTTTATCCTCGAGGGTTTCGAAGCCAAAGAGTACGTAGTGGCAGCGTACTTAGACATAAAACAAGCCTTCGACAGAGTCTGGCATGATGGGCTACTCTGCAAAATTAAGCCCTTACTGCCACCTCAACTATATTTAATAGTGCAGAATTATTTGACAAACCGGTCATTTTCGGTAGTACTCGATGGAGTTGAGTCAAACATGAAGGCCATCGGGGCTGGCGTTCCTCAAGGGAGTGTGCTAGGGCCCACGCTCTACACCCTCTTTACCTACGATATGCCCACTGGCTCTACAATTGAAGTCGCGGACCCCCACGACCTTACAATCGCCACTTTTGCAGATGACACAGCCATCTTGTCAAGAAACGATTGTGTCTACGAAGCTACCGACGTCCTGCAGCAATATCTCCACCAATTTGAAATGTGGGCCAAGCGCTGGAATATTGGCATTAATTTAAATAAATGCGCCAATGTGACCTATGCGCTACGGAGGGACATGTGTCCGGGAGTTTTCTTGCGCGGCCAATTGGTGACGCACTTCAACAGCCACAAATACTTAGGTGTGCACCTAGACAGACGCTTGAACTTTAACAAGCACATCACAAGTGTTTCAGTAACCCTAAAGAACAGAATAAGAAAACTAAGATGGCTTCTGAACAGTAGAAATGCGCTATCTTTGAAAAATAAAGTCACCATTTATAAATCCTGCATAGCTCCCGCCTGGCGTTATGGTATCCAGGTATATGGCATTGCTGCAAAGTCCAGTCTTTCAAAAATCAGGGTGCTCCAAGCAAAAACGCTCCGATATCTGTCTGGTGCCCCCTGGTATATGAGAACCTCCGACTTGGAAAAAGACTTAGGAGTGCCCAAAGTCGGGGACATAATAAATATACAGGCCGCAAATTATATAGCGCGACTGAGAAGTCATCCTAATCGACTGGCTAGGCGTCTTCTGAATAGGCGCAGAATTGGAGGACTCCGAACGCGGAGGAGACTACGAAGGTCTCACCCAATAGATCTCCCAGATCGATTTATATAGTTGACACTGTAAATTTGTATATAAGACTTACCAGTAGAATAAGTAGATTGTAAATATTCATACAAATTTAATTTAAGTTGTTCCAGATAATAACAGAAAAATTAAAATAAAGCTAAACTTAATAATCCAAAAAAAAAAAAAAAAGAATTGAATAAAATACAAATATGAAAATCTTCACATAGGCAATGCCCATTTGTATATGTGTATATACATGTGTACTCCAGACCAAAATCAGTATTCGAGTTGACTTATTATTATCGATTAAATGAATAGATAACCATACAATAAAAACATATATATAGATTATTTATTTACTAAATATATTGTGGTTGTCTGCAACTATTCTTTCCCTATTCTCTGTTCTTTTTGTTGAACGCTTGTTACAGACTGACTTTCCTTAACAGTAATGCTTAACATAATTCTTAACATACATGGGATCTGCTGCCAGAGTGACCGTAAATACTTCTGTGAATGCAAGGCATTTATAAATGTACATTACAACCCACTTAAATTTCTAGATATCTCTCCTTTTGCTTTCCAATTAAAAACTATCATAGACAACTGTTAAAAAAAACTCCCAGATTAATCAGTTATTTATGGCAGTCATTGCAGTCCCCGCTGGATATATTTGCTCATATATATTTGTATTTTTATCTTTGTCAATAATAAAACTTGACGTTATGCTGCGAGAAATCCTTCATTATGGCTATTCCCGCGAGTTCATATCGATGCCATTTAGCGAAACCAGCCCAGTTGCAGCTGCTGCGTGTCATATTGCAATAATTATGGCCCACAGCCAGTGCCACATAGGCTGCTGGCGAAATGAGCAATACGTTCCAACTCCTGTGGGTTTAAGCTAACGCCACGCCCCTCACCGCACGCCCCATGCCGGGCTCAACTTTGCTGTTGATAACAATCATTGAGCTGTGTTGGTTTTGGTTCGCTCAATTCAGTTGGGTTTTTCTGTTTTATGTTGTTGCTTCGGATGAAAGTTTCCACATTTTCTCTATGTGGCACGCGAAAAGTTCAAGGACATACCGAAGGCTTTGCACTTGTGGGCGGCCAAAATGTACCCCAATGCTTGTTTAACTTGTCTGCGCTGAAAATTGCATTTTCGATTAAGCCAGCTATGTAAACTGCATTTTTGGGCACATTTAATATTGCGGCTCCATATACATTATACGTTTGTAGCATATTGTCGAAACTTTTCTTGTCGGCGGCCCCTAAACGATAAGACCGAAAGTTTTTGCGCCCATTGAGATTCGTTGTAAACGTCTTGTTAAACTGAATTATTTCGAGCTTGAGTTCATATACGAGCAGAAACTTGAGTTATTTTGTTGCTTAAACAGCTTGGGAATTGCAAGAGCAGAAGGAAAACAAAAAGCAAGCATGTGTGTCTTTAAGGCTTGCAATTTGAAGTGAAAATTGTAGTAAATAAGTTAAGTTGGACTTAATAATTTTGTGAATAATAATAATAATAATAACAATAATAATTCTTAAATAATTTCTCTAAATATCTTTCGAGTTCGAATCTAGTTTTGTCTTCGCCAAAACACAACTACTGCAAATAAATAAATCTGAAATATCTTAAATTCGTTTTCATACATTTAATTTTCAATAAATTAAAAAATACTTCTAGTTATGTATTTTTATTGCGCTACAAAGGAGAATTTCGAATGATAATTGATGCCACAAAAGTCCTTTGCATAATCATTATCAGCCCCAACTCTCGCCCATTTAATCATCCCTTTCTGGCACAAGCCCCACGTGCTTAATTACCCAACTCCCTTTTCCAACTGCAATTATATAATTACAATGTGCAAATATATATCATGTATGTGTAGATATAAAATTCCATATAGAAGAAGCTCGGGACATGTCGCATTTCGTAAGGAACTCAGCGTAACCAAAACCTGCCCCCATTTAATTATATTAGACTGCAATTAGCTGTGCGTTTAGCTTGTACGTAAACAACCCCAAAGAAAGGCGGGCTGAACAGAGTTAAGAGTATGCGTATATATAGATATCCTGTAGTAAGAGTTTATGAGAAGGCGGAAATAATAATAATAATATTTAAACATATAAACAGAAATGAACATTTTAAATACAATATATATATGAAATGATATTTTCCTAGAGTAGATGGAGCATATTATTAAAAAACTCTTAAGAACTAAAACCATGGTATAGATAAATAGGTAAAGTAAACGAGATTAGTTTAAGCATAATATACCGAAATCATTTGTGAATAAAGCATATGAAAATATGATAAATGCGGAAAATTATTTAAAATCAAGGAACACTTCAACATTTTCAAATATAAACAGATCGAAAAGCTATAATAAAAGGCTTAAGAATGAAAGAGAATCAAATAAAGAGTAGATCGAAACATCTTAGACTAATAATAATCTTTATTGGATATTAACGCTCAATTATAGATAATTATTATCTAAATATCTATATGTATTTATATATATGAACATATTTCGTATGAAGAGCGGCACATTATCGGACTGCATACATAATAATAACTCAATCTGGCCAAAATGACATTTAAACTCCATTTACAGGGTATACAAAACCCACCGAAAATTGCATATGCTGATGACATCAGCAGCAGTCAACCCCTGCCGTTTATGTTGACTGCTGTTCGCTGTCAAAACCCGCTCCCCCAACACGCCCGCCGCCACACTCGCACCGCAGCTACCCTGTTTTAAAGTGCGTTGAACTGATGCCAAGTGGAAACGCCCCAGTGAACTACATTGCAGGGTGGCGCCTGCCAAAAAACACAAAGTCTAAGCACGTGCGAAGCGGCGGGTGGGAGAGTCGAGGGTCGGACAACAGACCAGTTGGCGCCACGGCGCAAAAATAACTACGCACTTTACGATTCGCGGACGCCTGCTACAGGGGGTGGCAAGGGCAGGGGGCAGGGCTTGCGGCTACAGTCTTAGGTCAGCCGACAGCTGTCGCAATCTGTTGAGGCATTTGCCAGATTTGCACACCCTGTACACATTCAAGCGGATATGTAAAAGGGTATATGGGAGTTGTATATTATATACGCAAATCAAGTCTATTTTATGATATCGATAACTCTCGACTTCTCCTAGTTTGAAAAATATGTTTCATTATAAAAGAATATCGATAACTCGAAATCCAAAAAAATGCATAACAAAAATCGAGAAATATCAAATACTTACCTTATGCAGATCAACTTTATTTAAAACTATCGATAACTCAATTTGCCCAAAATCGATAAATTTCGATTATTCCAAAGTTCGTACCCCATATACAGATAGGTTTATAGTTTAACTATCGATCACTGCTGATTTGCTAATATTAATAAATATCGATGCTCTCGATTAGTACAAAACATGCAAATAAAGTTTATAGGTAAACTATCGATAGCTACCGATTTTTTTCAATTTCAATAAATATCGATCAATATAAAAGCTACATATATCATAATCGGTATGATCAAGAATATTAAACTGTTCGGACACCTTCTGACATGCATCTGTATACAAGAATAGAGCTCGCATCCAGGTTATCTTCCAGTCGGACAATGTCGACTAGATGACGATGATAATAATATGATAATAATTGTTTTTGGAGTAGTGTGAGATGTGTGATTAGTTTAAATTAATTCATGAAATATTTTGGTTGTTTATTTTCCTTGTAGGATCCAGCTACGACACGCATACCACGCCTGGATGGCAACTCACGCATACCACCGCCGGGCAGTTTTGGTGGCACCACCTCGCACATACGCCCGCCCACAGCGCTAAAGTCGAGCACACAAATCTTTCGGGCGCCCGCCGCGCCGGCCAATGGGAAGGCGCGTCCCATTAGCTCCTATCATCCGGCGGCGGCGCCGCTGCATGATCTCGGCGCCAGCATCAAGAAGAGCGCCTCCGGCGAGCGGCTGAACAATGCTGTCAGCTTGATTAGCAAACGCACCACCAATGTGCTCAAGAAGTACTTTGGCCAGGGCAAAATGATGGGCGCCAGCGTGGGTGGAATACAGGGAGCAGCTGCATCCGGCCTGATGACCAGTTCGCTGCCACACACCCCGCTGCCCGCCGCCAAGCAGCCGCAGCCGGAGAAGCAGCAGCAGAGGCAACAGCAATGTCTGTTAACCAGCAGCACGCCCATGCCGCTGATGCGCTCCGAGACGTTTGTGTGCGATGAGGAGGAGCAGCAGTTAAGGGAGCGGGAGCCGAAGGGGGAGCAATCACAGATGCAGCTAACGCTCTCGGCCACACCCACGTTGAATCGCACACGCCTGGAGAATACGCGTCTCTCCAGCGTGGGCTTTGGACGCACGTTGGATTTGGATGCAACACTGATCGAATCGAGCTCTTCAATGAGCCGTACTCGAACTGTCATTGTGGACAAGAAGGAGCAGCCGGAGCTGGATCCGAATGCCACACAGCTGGTGAGTCCTTTGAGCTGCACCCGGCTAGCAACTAGCTCTGCTCAGGTGGATCGCACACGCACTGTAATCCCCGCCAGCGTCGAGCCAGCCGATGCCACACAGCTGCTGGCCAATCTCAGCGGCGATCGAGCGGATCGCACGCGTCCCGTAATCCCTGCCAGCGACGAGCCAACCGGACAACCGGATGCCACACAGCTCTTGGCCAATTTGAGCTGCTCCCGTGCGGATCGCACGCGTCCCGTTGTCAGCGAGGTGGCCGATGCCTCGCAGCTCAATCGTGCCGATCGCACGCGCACCTTCAACGCCGCCGGCGGCGAACTAAGCCATGAGCTAAACCTGGACTTGACTAGGAGCGTGGAAAAGCTACCGCTGCTGGAGCACATGTCCATGCCCTCGGGCCTGGATCTGCTGATGAACGGCGTCAAATCGGAGTTGCCGCTGGACGCGGAACTGGACAATACCGAGTTGGATGTGACGCTAACCGCCTTGGCGCCGGACAAGAGCACCATGAAGCTGCCCCTCAACTCGACCATCAACACGGAGCGCCTGCTGGACATCAGCGGGCTGCAGTCACCGGCACGGCACATTCAGCTGCTCAATTTGACGCGCGAATTTCTGGAACAGACGCCGCAACGCTTGCCACAGCACGGCGCCGGAAGTCGCTCGATGCCGCAACATTCGCTGGTCTGCCTGACGCCGCACTCGGCGACAACGACGCCGCATGGCACCGGACGCTATCAGCAGACGCCGGTGCCGGTGCATCTGCTGTCGCCGCTGTTGAAGGCGGCACGCAGCGATCTGGTGCTGCCCACGCGCACGCCCGAGGGTGAACTGTTGCCGCTGGGTGCAGCGGTGCAGCTGCGTACGCCGCGTACGCGCTACAGTTTTGGCCTGGAGCTGCAGGAGAGCACGCTGGACGCCTCCTTAGAGCTGGTCGATAATTCGTTTTCCGCATCACAGCAACAGCTGCAGCAGTTGCAGCAGCAGCTGCTCAAGAAGCAGCACAGCTTCGATTTGGATGAGAGCTTGGGCATCCTGACGCCCGATCAAATGAAGGAGTTCCTGGACTCATCCTCGCAGCACAACAACAGCAACAATCCTAATACCAATTCCAATCTCAGTCATCATCTGGAACTGCAGCTGGTTGCCGCCGCGGCACAGCAGCAACAGCAGCAACATTTTCAGCAGCAGCTGCAGCAGCAGCAACAACAGCAGCAACAGCAGCAACACTTGCAACTGCAACAGCAGCTGCGCCTGGAGCAGACACCTTCGCCGGAGGAGCTGCCTCTCGATCCCATAGAGCCGCAGCTGGCGGCTGCTTTAGCAGCACCAGCGCCCGTCGCCGCCGCCACCGCGGCCGTCGTGGCTGCGGCCGCTGCGCCCGCCGCGCCCAAGCTGAGCAACAGCTTTATCACCAGCGTGACCAGTGTGACCAGCCTGGATACGGGCTATCAGGGCGACGGCGAAATGTCGCGTCCGGCATCGCGCGGCGCCTGCGATCATTCGCCCAGCAATGGACCACATTTGGGCCGCGTCAGCCGCCAGCCCAGCTTTCCGCCCATGCCGGCAGCACCGGCGGCGCCGATGCGTCGTCAGGATCCGATGACCGATTCGGATTTCTTTACCGAATCCGATGCGGACGATGTGCTGCAGCGCGGCGATCGGCGTGCCCAGGTCATTGATGGCCAGCTTTATGGTCCGGCCATGCAGCCCAGCGCCTCGGTGCCGCAGCTCGAGGATTCGTGCATGGAATCATCGGGCATTTTTACGGATGTGGAAAATCGCTGCGATGAGGAAATGCGCCTGCCCGAGCTGGAGCCGGACATCGAAATGGAGATGGAGATGGAGATGGACATGTCGCCCGACGAATCCACGCAGACGCTGCGCAAAGCTCAAGGTCAAGCGCAGAGAGCCGACCACCAGCAGCAGCAGCACTCGCACTCGCAGTCGCAGTCGCTGTCTCAGTCGCAGCCGCGTCCGCTCTCTTCTTCGTCGGCCGCAACGACGCTCTCCAATCGCACCTCCTACTGCAGCGTCGACGGCGGCAGCGCCAAAAGCTTTTGCGACGAAGCTTTCAACCAACAGCAGCAGCAGCAGCAGCGATCGTCAGTACAGCGTGCAGCGTCGCCGCGTCCACACGCATCGTTAACGTCGCTCAGCACAGTTGAGAATTTTAACAGCGCGTCGCTATCTTCCAGCTCGTCGCTCGCATCGCCCAAATCGTCGTGTAAAATAACAACAACAACAACTGCAACAGCGGCACATAAAAAATCGCCCCTAACCGCGCGCAGTGTTAAAACGCCCAATAAATGGGATGCAGTTATGCATAAAATCGCCAGCAATAAGTCAACCATCAAAACTAATTACAATGATGTGAAATCCAAAGTTTCTACCACGCGCAACATGGCCGGATCCGGATCGGGAACGGGATCGGGAGCCGGTGGCTCGGCTCCGCGCAGCCCCTCGAGCAGCAGCGGCAGTCCGCGCATAAGTCCCACGGTTAGGCGTTCGCCTTCGGGCACGCCGCTGGTCAAGCGCAGCAGCAGCGTTAGGCCAACGAATGCCACGCCCACAACGTCGACGTCAACGCGGCAGCCACAGGATAAAGGCTCTGTTGGCGTCGGCGTCAATGTGTTTGCGCGTCTCTCCAAATCGCAGTCACCCACATCGCCCACTGCAGCCGCAGCAGCAGCAGCAGCAAAGCGTTTGCAGCCGGTCTTAGTTAAACGGTAAGTCTCAAGTAAATGCTCCACCTCCATGTTCAGATTATAAGCATTTGTTTTTGTCTTATTGGTTTTAACTCTTCTTGAAATCATTGTAGAGTATATTTTACAATTAACATATTTAATTTGGCTTTAGCTCCAAACATAAGTGCATATTCCACCTCCATGTTCAGATTATGGGCATTTGTCTCTGTCTTTGAAGATCTTCTTAGTTTTTTCTCTCACTGATTTTGTTATGGATATATTCTCTTGTCAATATATTTCATGGGATAACATAGCTCCTAACTCAAGTAAATACTCCACCTCCATGGTCACATTATTAGCTAACGCTGCTGTTTCACAAGTTCTCCTTATTGATTTTGTTTTTGGACCAACTCGTCAGTCTCCTAATACCTAATCATAAATGTTTCCCAGAAATAGTAAAATGTTTTGTTAAGCCTCAAAGCTTTTCATCAATTTCCACTTGGCGTGCATTTCCATATCAAACGAATGTTAATAGGTAGTTCCGTAGTTGTTTTTTTTCCCCACCCTCACCGATCATCTTTTTCGCGTATTTATTGTTACCAAGAATCTTATCTGCTTGTCAAGTGGATGCCTAGTTTATCGAGGCGTCTACCACATACCTTTGCCTGCGTCTTCTCTTATCAGTTGCGCCTGCTGATTGATTTCTTGTGTTCCACTTTCTGTTTATAAGGCTATCGAATTCTCAGTTGATAGCCATCGTTCACCTGCTAGCGATAAAGTCGCACCCCTCATATATATGCGACTAGAATGTACATTAATAAAATTGAGTTCAGGGTCAGTTACGAGTTTTTGAATAAACTGGCGCAACAGGCTGCTTAATTGTTGTTCCCAACTGGAAATTTGACCTAGAGGTTGTAGAGTTTTAACTAAATCTAATTAACATAAACAACTTGATTAAAGGGCAGCGAATTTCATTTCAAATGCCAATTTAGTTGAAATGTTAAGCGTGCTATTTGTTTGATATTAATTAGAAAATAATTTTTAATGTTGAATCTTATAAAACAAATGGTTTAAGCGTTGAGCTTATGAAACGGGCAAGCGCTCGCATTAAAAAAAAATATATATTTAGAAGTTCTTGTTTAAGCTTTTTCTATGCTGATAAAGCTTTTTCGCTGGCAGAGATTTCAATTTCCAGATATTTGTTTTTATGGAATTATCTTACATTTTTTGAAATACTTAAATTGTATTTAATTTGAATCAATTCTAAATTAAATTAAATTAAATTATAAATTAAATTATCTAATTTTCTTAGAACACATATAGAATAATCTCTAAAAACGAACATAGAAAATGTTTCTAATAGTCCCACGGTGTCATCCTTAGCCGGGCAACAGTTACTAATTGCTCAGATCTTAATTATTTATCTTCTCACCGTGACATTATGCACATTGTGGCCTGTGAATGTCAAACATAAACAAATTATCCACACTGGACTAACAGAATGGACTTCAATATGACCAAGAAAAAACGAACCCTTACCCCAAGATCCACAACATAGTTAAACAAAATTGTTGGGCACAAAAGTCAAATTCAACTATGTGCGAGAGAGAGGGCGAGCGAGAGAGAGAAAGAGAAGCGAAGTGCGGGAAGCGAGAAGCCAAAGCAAAGCGACGCCAAGTTTAACAATTTATTGGACCCGTGTCGTGTATAATAAGCATCATTTGTCGGTCTAGGGGGCGCCTAATATTTAAGCATAAATTAGGGCGGGGTTCAAGGAGAGTTATGGAGTGCCTGACTAGGGGCTAACCCAGAGGGAGTGATGGCGAGGGGGGGGGGGAGTTGCGGGTCTAGAGGCTTATGCGTGTGCGCTGTGCTTAATTTCACAGTAATTTTTTTTGGCATTAAAAACGAGACGCACATGAGTTGAGCTCAACATTTGTTTTGTCATGTGAACCAGGCCCCACGCCCGCCTCCCCCCTTTCCTCAACCCCGTTCGTTCCGGCCGAAGGGGCGTATGTGCATTATACAAATTAATACAAAAGGCAACAAAGAGCAGCAGATTGGCAAAGAGAGAGAGAGAGAGAATGGGAGAGAGAATGAGACACATAGATGTAGCAAAAATTCATTCCACTGAACTTTGACTTTTTTGCTGTTTTTTGTTATAGTTTTCTTTTTTTTTTTTTGGGTTTAGTTTAACAGAAAATTGTGTACAATAAAAGCAGAGCAAATGCTCAATTAGTTTAATTGCGCGGCTCGTCGTTTGTGTCTATTTTATTTGTTATTTAATTTTGATTATTTACACATTTTTTCAACAATTGGCATTAACAATTTGATGCTCTGTAGAATTGCAACATCAAAAACGTGGTTAAAGATATATATGTATGCTTATTTATTTATTATATACAGGTAGATATCTACAGGTATATCTACAGCTAATGATAAATACAATGCGCAACCACAATAACAACGCAAACCGCAAATTAGTCACAAATCTTGCATGAACCTGATGCGCCTCTCTCTTTATTTATTGCGTACTCCCCTCTATCTGTCTATCTTCTTCTTATTTATTCTGTCTGAACGATAACGAGTTATGCACTTTTTATTTGTATCCGTTTCTTTTTTTTTTTTCGTAAACATGCCATCAAAATTCATTAGATAAAAGCGTTTTGATTAATATTATCGCATTTGATGCATGCACTTGGTTTTTGCTCAAGTCTAGTACGCTGCAAATTTGGCAAGCAAAATCTACAAAAATTGCTTTGCCTCAATTATGTGCAAAATCTTCAATTATAGCTGTCAAAATGTTGACAATCACTTTAACATGCTGTCAGGTTTGCTTTTGTTTATTTTACGTTTTTGTCAAAATGTCAAAATGAAGCTAGCACACCTTACATTTTTGACATATTAATAAATATGCAGCGTTGCCAGATTGCTAAGAAATTAAAATTTGAAAGCACCTAAAACAGTTTTATAAACATATATACTGGTGTATGTAGCTAGCCAAATTTTCGTTAAGTTGTTGCCAAAATTTTACACAAATGTAAAAATCATAAGATAATTAAATTTATTTTCTAAATTCTTAACTAAAGTGAATGTTATTGGCAAAGTTTACGTGTAGCTCACGGAAATCCACAACAATTTAATAGTATGTTAAAATAAACTGACTGTCAACAGACGTAAACTTTATTGCACATGCAAATTTATTCTTCATTATATTAAACTTGCTGTCAACTTACTTTGGCATTATGGTCACGGCGTTGCCACATATGCTAACCCCTTTATATATTTTGTGAGTAAGCTAGAAACAATTTTACATATATTCTTGTTGCGACATTTATATACACACGCAGCGCATGGGCTTAAAGGTTTAATAGAAACTGAAGTAAGAGTACAAAAATGAGCAAGTACTCAATTACAGAATGAGTACTAAAACAATGTTGCCAGATTATAAGAATTTCTAACAGCTTTTACTATTTTAACAAAAGTTGCTTGTTTCTTTTGTTAACTTATTGATTTACATGCACTTTAATAGTAGCTTGAGCATAAATATTATTTTATTGATATAAATAATAAATATCAATTATTTATTTTATATTATTATACATATTTTTTTTTTTATAAATAAATATTATTTTTTATTTTATTTTATTTGCATTATTATTATTATTATTATTATTATTATTATTATTATTATTATTATTATTATTATTATTATTATTATTATAATTATTATTTTAAATTATAATGTATATTATTAATTTTATTAAACTAGTATTATTTATTGTTACAAAGCTTATAAGCTATCAAAATAATGCGCGTCACGCGAGCTGCGTACCCCGCTTAAGATGTAATAATTCAATGCTGCTTATTATTATTGTGTTGTTATTTTTTTGCTTACATTGAAAACCACAAGAACAACAAACGCAAAGCAGCCGCCAATTACAACAACGGCACACACGTAATTACAATGTGTGTGTACGTGTGTGTGTGTCACATTTGACAGCGTAGTGCGAGAACATATCTCTCGGGCAAAACAATCACAACAACACTAAAAATAACAACAACAACAACAACAACAACAGCTGCTACTTCAACTGTGAATGGGTGTGAATGTATCTTGAAGTGTGCGCCGCGCCGCTTTTGCCTTTTCGAGTGTGTGAAAAACGCCCAAGCTCAAAAACACACACACACACACACTCAACAGTGCTGTGTGTCTCTGTATCTTTTACTATGTATCGGCGTATCTGTTGGATACCGCACTTGGTATCTGCGAATTGGTTTCAAGTCGCAAAAGTTCAGCGCGCGCGACTGTGAAACATGCTGAAGATATTATCTCGGCTCAACTGAAGCCTTAAAATTTGCTATAAATATTTCATATTGCTTTGGCATTTCACATATCATTAAATATTGTATTTATTAATCCGTTATCTTGTGGAATTTATGAATGAATGCCAACATCTTG